TGTGAACTGCTGTATGAAAAGTGAATTTACTCTGTAAATCTTCACCCAAATCCTAATAAAAAAAAAAGAAAAAAGAATACAATGTGAACAGAACAACAACAAAAAAAAAATGGCTTTACTAATATAAACATTAAAGTAAAATGTCTAACATTTCTTTTATCCTCATCAGACCACTACACTTCATATAAAACCATATAATACAACAAGAGTTTCTGCTCTGAGACCACACTGCTTGATTTGAGTTCTGGCTCCATCAAATTCCTAACTGACCTTGGACAAGTTACTTAACCTCTCTGGGTCTCATTTCTGCAAAATGTGCCTAGTAATACTTATAAGACGGCTGTGCAAATTAAATGAGAATGTGAAGCACTCAGCACCATGCGTAAAACATAGCGAGCGCTTGATATATACACCTCTTATTGTTAACTGTTCGACGATGAATGTAAATTAAATGAGCATCTTATTGTCTGTGACAACCTGAAGAAATAAATGGTTCACTCATTATGAAAAATACTAGTTATTCATTTGCACTCTGGGATCTCCAGGAATTAGATGGTGGCAACATCTGAATGTAATTTGATCTTCATTTGTGCACAGAAGTTGTCCTTAGGCACCTAGCAAAATATCTAACTTAAGTAGATGATCAATGTATTTTGAAAGAACAGGTTAATGGATGAATACCTCTGGCCATATGACAGCCCCAGTCTATTCACGTACTAAACTTCTAAGGATGACCTAAATGCTAATTTCAACTTCCATCACTGGGCCATATGTGAAATTCTTTTATAAAGGTGAAAAAACTATGGATGGATACTCACTTGGCGGGACATGGTGTCTATAGCAATCCCAAAGTTATTTTTAAAAGGGCACACTGCAAGACAATGCATCAGTATATATGACACCAAGAAAATGCAGAATCCTTTCTGCCTTTCATCAATTTGCAACATTGCAACTCACCTGTTTTTTCAGTTATATCTGAATCCGGAGTGCCTGCCCTGCTAACTTCCCCTTCAGCATTCTCCTCTTCAGCACTAAGAGAAATTGGTGAAGAAGGGCCAGGCTGGGATGGCTGTGGGGCTGCTTCGGGGGCTTCCTCAATCTTACTCCTTTTCTCAAAGCGAAAACGGTCCAGGTTGAAAAGATTCATATTGGTGGAAAACACCACCCTGTGGGGTTAGGGCTTTGATCAAACTATCTGCAGGGAAGAAATAAAAAAGGGAAAAAGAGATCATGAAACAATACAAAGCCATAGCAATTCATTCCCAAGGCAATAAAAGGCCTGCAAACATGCCAGTGTCTCAGGACGACTATTATGGCTGCGCCTCATTGTTAAGCGACAATCGGAAGACAGAATATATCTCTTTATTATCCATTGCTCTTTTCACTCTTTTTCGTCCCCCGCCCCTCCTTTTGCGAACCACAGCTGACCCTCGTGCAACCTTCTCTTACCCCAGCATGCGCAGGCACGTTTCCCACTCTAACCCGGCAGCAGGCCGCGCCCCCGCCCACTGCGAAAGATTCCCTGCACTACCGAGCCCCCTGCCTCGAGAGAGGACGTGCCAGGGCCCAAGTATCGACACTGCGGGGACACAAAGGGGCCAAAGAAGGGGAGCGGCGGAGGCCGTGCAGTCGGGCACCCGCCCGGAAGTTGACGCGGCACGATCCCAGCTGAGAGGAAGCCGATCTAGACCACATAGGAAGGTTCAGAGGAGGGGGATGTGCTGGAGCGTCTTTTTTAATGCTCACTCGCTCGACCTCTTTTTTTCCACCTTGTAACAAACTTACGGTTTCGCAGCCTCCGTGGGATGCAAAGATTGAAATGAAAAAAATAATTGCTGGCGTGGGGCGACGGTAGCCGGGCCGGGACCTGCTACAGAGAAACCCAATGAGCGCGTAATGATGACGCAACGCGCAACCTGGGCTTTTTTTCTTCTTTAGCGGCGCGCGAGAGGAAGATGTTTAAGTGCGCGCGCAGATGTCATTGTAATTCGTAACCGCTTCTGCCTGGGAAGCACGCGTTTGTTGTTTCTCAGGGTTAGCAAGAGAGTTGTTAGATAGTGCACTAATTAGTAACATAATAGTATACGGTATGTAATATATAGTATAAAATTAATATAGTTTATATATTGTAATAAGTATGTAAATAGCATAATAATAATAATGTGCTAAATGTCTTACGTTTATAATCTAAATCCTTACAAAATCCTTAAATCAAAATAACGAAACTCAGGCTACAATTGTTTAGTGGCTAGTTAGTATGTGTTAAAGGGTCACCATGAATTGGAATCGACTTGATGGCCGTAGGTTGTTTTGGCTTTTTAAATGGGTATGTTGAACTCCAAAGCAGATTGTTGCAGAGTAACAAACTTTAACCAAAGCCTTCTGCAACGAAAGAGGTTTTTTTTTTTGTTTTTTTTTTCTTTTAATTGTGACATATCAGCAAACAAAATTAATAATGGGAAATTGCCTGCAAGTACTATGGCTATAAACAGACCAAAATCCAAAGAAGTATAGTTCTCAAGTGTTTTAATACAATTTAAACAGGTGCTGATTCACTGCAACTAAGGGTCTTTTCAACATGCCTTTTACAATCATTGGAGCAGCTACCTATGAGTAAGTTATTTACGTGCTATCATTGATTAAGGTAAAAAAAAATAAAACCCTAAAATTATGATTGAGTGACCTTTTCTTGTTTTTCTAAACTGTGGTCCCTTGTCTCAGGGGTCTTGGGTCTATCATAGAATGATTTTTTTTTTTTTTACTACGCTATTTGTGGTATTGGGTAGATCTTTAATTCATTCCCTAGTATAATGTTATTCAGTTTTGATTCACATGCCCACCCTCCATTGTCTGCCATCCATTGGACCAGTTAGAAATTCTGTTTTATGCTTTGGGCCTTCTGTTTATTGTTTGAAGGGTCCATAAATCTTGACAAGTTGGCCTTTGCTTAGGGCCTGCTGTGATTTGGTTAACCCTTCATTATTATGAATTGCTCCCCATTGTTGCCTGGATTGCCCTTACAGTGAAATGTGACCATTAAGTCATTTGTTTTGATGGAAATACTGCTTTAAGAATATTTGCTCCCTTTATTCTAACATTAGACTAAACGAGCAGTTTTCTGAACTGTACTTTGATCTTCTGATTGGCATTTCCTTTGAAAAAGAATTAGTACAAATAATTGTTCTGCCAAATACATTGATCATTGTAAACTTAAGTCTGCATTCTGTTTTATAAATCAGTCTTGTGAATTCTATAATTATAACACAATTCCACAGTTTTTTCAAATGTTAGCATAGTAGTAAAATGAAGTGTCTGTGCCCATAAGATACAGAATTAAAGCCTGGATGATGAGGATGTCCATTATAACTATCTTAGCTATCCCATGAAATGCATTAGCTTGATTGATGCATGCTAAATGATGTGATCAAAACATAGGTTTCCTTATAAAATAGTAAAATTATTTTTGGTGATTAAGAGTATATATCTGTCTGTACATGTATAGACAGATTACAAATTGAAAATGAACTCCACTAGTTTAATAACTTTGGGCAAGTTATATAAATTCTCTAATCCTTAGTTTCCTCATCTGTTAAATGTGCTTAATAATAATATTGGTTTATTAGGCAGATGTGTAAGGCATCTGACTGCTAACCAGAAGGCTGGCAGTTCAAACCCACCAGCCGCTCCTTGGAAGGAAGATGAGGCAATCTACTTCCATAGTGATACCACCTTGGAAACCCCAGGAGGGGTCGCTATGGGTTGGATCCAACTCGATGGCAGTGAGTTTGGTTTTATTAGGCAGATTTTCTGGCAGACCCTATGTCATTTTTAGTGCTGAGGCAAGAGTAAAAATGTAGACCCACATACATTATGTCTAAATATTTAACTGTTAAATAAATCTTTAAACATTATAAACATAACTAATAAAATATTATTTTTTTTCCCTCTTATTTGAAAATGACTTGAGAGTCCAGGTTGGATTTAGAATCTCTTTTGTGTCAGAATGTGGATGATTCAAGGAGACTTGGTTGGCTCACATATCCTGCCTTCCCTGTACTACCTCCTCCTGGTCAATTTGATATCAATAGCAGCCTTGTAAGAAGCACTGGAGGTACAGTGGTTTAACACTCGACTACTAGCCAAAAGATTGCTGATTCAAACCCACCAGTTGCTCCACAGGAAAAGATGTGGCAGTCTGCTTCTGTAAAGATTCACAGATTGGAAACCTAATGGGGAAGTTCTACTCAGTCCTCTAGGGTTGTTTTGAGTCAGAATCAACTCATTGACAATGAGTTGTAGGGGCCTTGTAAGAAGCCCTAGTGGCACAATCGTTAAGCACTTAGCTGCTAACCAAAATATTGGTGGTTTCAGCCTACCCAGCAGCTCCATGGGAGAAAAAATCTGGTGCTATACTCCTGTGAGCTCTGGTAGCATAGTGCCTAAGGCACTTGACTGCTAACCAGAAGGCTGGCGGTTCAAACCCACCAGCCACTCCTCGGAAGGAAGGTTGGGCAATCTACTTCCATAGTGATACTGCCTCAGAAACCCAAGGAGGGGTCGCTATGAGTTGGGGCCGTCTTGACGGCAAATAACAACAACAACAACATACTCCTGTGAAGATTTTCACCGTCATGGAGTCGATTCCAACTCATAGTGACCCTAGGGTTTCCAGAGTTGTAGTCTTTACCTAATGAGACTGACACATCTTCCTCCCCTAAAGTGGTTGATGGGTTCATACCACTGACCTTTTGGTAGCAGCCAAGTGCTTAAGCACTGTACTACCAGGGCACCTATCTGTAAACATGGAAACCTTGCGGGAGAGTCCTACTCTGTCATGTAAGGTTCCTGAATCAGAATCACCTTGATGGCACGTAACAACAGTTCCTTGTGCCCATGCATATCCAACTCTGAGCTCATCTAGGGTTACCGTATTTATAGAACAAAATAGAGATTGCTCAGTTAAATTTGAATTTTAGATAAAAAGTGAATACTTTAGTTAAAGTATGTATGATGCAATACTGGGAATTATTTATATTAAAAAAAAATTGTTGTTTGTCTGAAGTCCAAATTTAGGAGGTTATCTTGTATTTTATGTGACAGCTTTACTCCCACCATCCCTTGGTTACCTCTTCAGTTTGATGACCTTATTCCTTGGTGACCACTTAGCTATATGTTGGGCCTAGGGATATACATACCATCAACACTGTTGGGTCTTAGTAAGAAAGACCTGGAGGAAAAAAATCCCTGTTAGCCTGCTTGGGACCTTTTGAGGAAAGAATTTCAGAAACCAGGTGCATAAAGTATTATCTAAAAGTCATGACACAGTTTCTGAGTGACCACAAATTCCTTGCCCACTGAGATAGGGCACAACTTAAAGAGAGGCAGACCGAGCTCTATAAAGTGCTGGGTTTACTAAAGGGACTCCTCTTGCCCAGTTTGAAGGGTAGGCTTATTATGCAGCATTTGTTGACAAGGAAAATTGGTTAGATCCTTACCTGGAATTTTACTTGATGATAGAACAGAAAGTAAATGGGACAAGAAAGTGAGACAACTCTGTGATAAATGTTCTTTATATATACCTGAAATCTTCTACAAGAATAGCAAGAGTTGGGGCCGAAAAGAAGACTGAATCATTCCCCTACATTCTTCTTCCTTCTGATCCTAAATATGATCATTCTCCCGTGTTTGGTCCTTGACTGTCTCTTATCTGTGCTTGTGACTAAATATATTTATCAAATCTTATTATACTGTGCTTCAGGAGACTTAACATATTTTTTCAAATATCTGGGTGTATAGTAGAGCTGACAAGGGGCAAGGTTGTAGTGGCTTCTTAGCCACAGCTAGCTACCTGGAGGAAGCGAGAAGTTGGACCTGCAGGGTTGTGGTCACAGGGGACATCAAGCTCAATTGGCATAACACTACACAAAAACATTGTTCTACATCCTGCTTTAGTGAGTAGTGACTAGGGTCTTAAAAGCTTGCAAACAGCCATCTGATGCAACAATGGGTCTCTCCTCATCCAGAGCAAGAAAAAATGAAGACAAGCAAAGGCACATGGAAACAATTAGTCCAATGGACTGGTACACAATGCAGTGCACTGCTGTCAAGTAGGATCCGACTCATAGTAACCCCTCCTTGGGTTTCCGA